GGTAGGCGTGGCCTCTTGGAGTAGCAGGAGGCCTCTAAGGCTTAGGTGGCCTCGGGGTCCCATGAGAGCCCAGCTGAGACCTCTCCACCCCTGCTGCCCACCAGACATCCCCTCACCCCCCCCAGCCCAGCCCCGGTGCCATTCCGCAGTGTGCCAAACCCCGCTCACCACCGGGCCTTGGCACCTGCTGCCCCCTTGACCTGGAAGAGCCTCCCCATCTGGATATTCACAAGGCTCACCACTTTCAGGTTTCTGTTCAGATGTCACCTTCCCTGACTGAGGGTCTGAAATGGTTTCCTTCCCCCGCTGCCATCTCCAGCCTTGACCCCTCTTGATTGTCCTCCCAGCACGCGTTACCTACTGCCGGCGTGTCCTGTGTACTGATCCATGTCTGTCTCTGCCCCGTGACTGGGAGGTCTGTGAGGATGGGGTGTGCCTGTTCACCCACGTCTGTACCCCACCCTCCCACTCAGACCAGCATCTCATCTCACAGTGAAGTGACTGTTGAGAGCCTGTGGCATTAATGCCTTGCGGGGAACCCATTTCTGCTTCAGCTCCCTGTGGGGTGAGGGTGTATTGATGCTTTAGGATTCCTCAGTTCCAGTTTCAGAGGAGCCCATGGCCATGCCTTCCTTTCACCCTCTTTTCCATCCCCCAGCTGCTTCAGGGATCTGCATGAGGAAGATCCCAGTGGCCTCAGCACACCCCCTGGACCCACAGTGTTTCCATAGCAATGAGGGTCCCCGCCTTCATCAGCTTGTTAAATCAGCTCCTTCCAGCTCTCACCTGCTCATCCCTCTAGGGGCAGAGCAGGCCGAGTAGCTGATAAGAAAGGAAAACAGTTAAAGCAGCCTTGACCAGAAATCCCCAGGTCACGTTGCCAGCAGTGCTTACCGTCTGTCCCCAGGAGCAGCACTGGAGCCACGGCAGGAGTCCATCAGAGTCAGAGAATGACCCACCGCCGCTATCACCCAGGCCAGCCTGCCACCCGAAGGCCCACAAAGGTTCCTTTGGGTGCTCTTGACTTTCCTGGGGGAGTAGCTTGGATTTGCCATGACCTGTATCAGACCAGCCCTTGAGTTCTGTTGGCTTTCATGTTTCCTAAAAACTGGAGTACTTTATGAACTAATACAATTTAGGGTTCAGTTCAGTTGCTCAGTCGTGTCTGACTCTTTGCAACCCCATGCACACCAGGCTTCCCTGTCCATCACTAACTCCCAGAGCTTGCTCAAACTCATGTCCATCGAGTCGGAGATGCCATCCAACCATCTCATCCTCTGTCATTGCATATAAATTTCTGATTCTAGCTTTTCTTTGGAAAAAAAAGTTGGCAACACTAGAAGCACAGCACTATCTATCTGGCAGGTGTTGGCAGGAGCTTGGTGGTGGTTCAGCTGTTTCTCCCCCATCTCCCCCACTCCCTCCTTCTTCCCCCACCCCCCAAATTCAGTCTCAATCACTCAGAGTGCCTGCTTCAGTTCCCCAGACATTCACATTCAAAGCCCCTCTATTGGATGCCTGGTAGAAATTGGTGTCCCCTCCTCTTAGCTGAGCTTTTCCATCAGCCCAATGGCAACCCACTCCAGTATTCTTGCCTGGAGAATCCCATGGACAGAGGAGCATGGTGGGCTGCAGTCCATGGGGTCACAAAAGAGTCAGGCATGACTGGACAATTTCCATCAGCCCAGTATCTGGCTATCCTGGAAGCCACCCCAGTAGAGCTGCTGTGTGATTCTTTCCCTCTCCAGCCAAAGCCATTTTTGATGTTGCTACTTGAACTTTCATTTAGATGCAAAATCTAACAGAATATAGCAGGAGGGTAAAGGGCTCCAGCTGAATCTTTGGTAATCATGGGTGCCTGTTTACTGAGGTCATGGGGATTGAAGGCTGCTGGTTTTTAACAAGTCTTTGCACCAGGCCATATATATATATATAGTCCATTTAGTCAAAGTATGGTTTTTCCAGTAGTCATGTACTGATGTGAGAGTTGGACCATAAAAAAGACTGAGCACCAAAGAATTGATGCTTTTGAACTGTGGTGCTGGAGAAGACTTGAGAGTCCCTTTGACAGCAGGGAGATTAAAGCAGTCAATCCTAAAGGAAATCAGCCCTGAATATTCATAAGAAGGACTGATGCTGAAGGTGAAGCTCCAGTACTTCGGCCACCTGATGCAAAGAGCTCACTCATTGGAAAAGACCCTGATGCTGGGGAAGATTGAAGACAGGAGGAGAAGGAGACGACAGAGGATGAGATGGTTGGACGGCATCACCGACTCAATGCACCTGAGTTTGAGCAAGCTCTGGGAGATGTTGAAGGACCAGGAAGCTTGGTGTGCTGCAGTTCATGGGGTTGCGGAGTCGGACACGGCTTAGCAACTGAACAACAACAAAACCCCAGAGAATTCATACATGTTAATTCCCAGTTATTTGGTTATAAGCCAACGTTAATGTCAACCCTTGATACTACAGCTTTTTTGTGGATTTTTTTTTGTGTGTGTGGCTGCACCGAGTCTTCACTTCTGCCCACGAGTCTTGGGAAGCAGGGGCTACTCTTCATTGCAGTGCACAGGCTTCACTCACTGCAGTGGCTTCTCCTGTTGCATAGCATGGGCTCTAGGGCATGCAGGCTCAGTAGCTGTGGAACACGGGCTTAGTTACTCCTTGGTGTGTGGGATCTTCCCAGATCAGGGGCCAAACCCATGTTCCCTGCATTGGCAGGTGGAGTCTTAACCACTAGGCCACCAGGGAGGTCTGGAGACTATTGTTAAGTGGTGCCATCCGGTTGCCTATACTGAATTCACATCTCCAGCCCAGACCACCCTCCCAAACTTCACACTCGTGTGTGTACAGGCCAACGGGACAGCTCCACCCTGATGCCAATCACATCTCTTGGTTCCAAGCTGCCCTTTGCTCTTCTCTTCCAAACCTGCTCCTCCCACAGCCCTCCCCAGCTCAACCAAGAGCAAGCCCATCATCCACTCCCTCAGGCCAGACTCTTGGAGTCATCCTTGACTCCTCTCTTTCTGTACCCGCCACATCTACTCTGGCCGGAAATCCTGTTGGCTCCATCTGTAACATACATGCAGAAACTGACCATACGCTGTGTCCCACCCCCACTGGACAGCTGCGGGAGCCTGGCCCTTCTGCTCTCCCCTTCAGCTCCCTTCATTCTGGTCTCCACTCAGCGCCTAAGTCAGATCAGGTCCCCTGCTCTAGAGCCTTCTGTGTCTCCTCAGTTCTCTGAGTTATGACCTTACAGCGTCCTCCAAGGCCCTGTGTGACCTGTCCTCCCCACCCCTTCTCAGGCCTCTGACTTCACGCTGGTGTGTGGACCACACTTCCCCAATGCTCAGCAAGACCCATCTTGCCATCCTGTACTTTCCATCTCTGTTACCGTGCTCTGCTTTTATTGTTTTTCAATATCATCTTCCTGACATAGAACACCCTAGACTATTTATCGTTTCTCCAGCTATTGCCTCTCTCCACAAGGGTGAGAATCGTGGTCTGTCTGGTCACCACTGTGTCCCCAGTACTAACAACAGAGCCTGGCAGAATGGTACTCAATATATATTTGCCTAGAGAATGAAATTCAGTAGGTTAAAGCCTCTTTAAACATCCCAATGGCAACATTTTGAGCAGTTCTATTTTTAAATAGAGATTAAAAAAAAAAAAAACAGAGAAAGAATCCAAATATGAGTAATTGAGATGTTATCATAAGACACCCCCCATGTTCATTGCCTGACCTAGACAATAGTTGATGGTCAATTTCATCTGTGACCCCACCCTCTCCCCACCTGATTATGAAGCAAATTTAAGTCGTCATACTTATCTGTAGATATTTTAGAATGCCTTTTGGGTTTTTTTACAGCTGCATAGTATTCCACTGGGTGAACAAATCACCCAGGGATAGTACCTATGTGTCGGGGCTTCCCTGGTGGCTCAGTGGTAAAGAACCCGCTTAGCAGGAGACTTGGGTTTGATCCCTGGGTCAGGAAGACCCCCTTGAGGAAGAAATGGCAACCCACTCCAGTATTCTTGCCTGGGAAATCCCATGGACAGAAGGAGCCTGGAAGGCTACAGTCCATGGGGTCACAGAAGAGTCAGGCACAACTTAGTGACTAAACAAGAACAACAACACAACATACAATAATGTTTTTTTTTTTTCAACCAGCCTTATTGGGTACTTTTTGCATATCACTTTATAAAGGCAATGTTCCACTCATTAGAACTTCTACCATCAACTTCAGTTTTGCAATACTTTTTTTTCTACAACTGAAGAGTAATTTCTTTGTAATTCTTGTTACCCACACAGAAACAAAATAAAATAAAGCACAATGATTCCGAAACACCCATTCTTCTCCACAATATTAGAGATTATTCTTTATAGGCACTTTGCTAGAAGTCTAATTTTTTAACTTTTTATTTTGATTTTAGGTGTAAAAGCAAACTGCGAGGACAGTACAACCAACACCCCCATTCCCCCAGGTTCACCACTTGCTAACATTTTGCTGCGGTTGCTTTATAAATTTGCTCTCTCTGTGTGTATTTTTAAATCATTTGAGATTTAATTGTAGCAGCATCCCCCTTTACCCTGAGCACTGCAGTATGTATCTCCTAAGAACAGGGGCATTCATCTTCCACTGCTACAGTGCACTTACATGTGACATTCAGGATATTTAGCATTAATACAATACTGTTATCCAAGCCACAGACTCTACTTGAATTTCTCCACTCGCTACAATTATGTTCCTTAGTGCGACGTCTGCCCCGCCGTCCAGGATCTACCCCCGGTGTTGCTATTGCATTCAGCTGCCATGTCTGCCCCATCCCCTTTCATCCGGAGCATCTCTCCAGGCTATCTTTGTCTTTCTTGACCTTGATATTTTTGGAGAGTACAGGCCAGTTGTTTTATAGAATATTCCTCAATTTGAGTCTAATCGATTTGGAGCAACCCTCACAGTATGCAGTCTAAAGCAGAACCCCCTGCTTTCCGCCCCCAGGACCTGAAAGCCGCCGAGAGAGACCCCTATCCGCAACCCGGAAACCTGTGCGAGATGCTGAGGACCGAGAGGAAGATGCCTCGGCCGTGCTCAGGGCCATCCAGGTGGAGAACGAGGCCCTGCAGAGCGCGATCCTCAGCAGAAAGGCCGAGCCCCCCGCCAGCCCACTGCAGGTGCGTTCCCTGCAGTGGGAAAGGATGGAGGACTCCGGCTACTCAGGGACCAGGTGGTGTCTAAGCCATGCTTGCCAAGAGCACGTGGTGAGGAGAGAGAGCCGTGAGGGTGCCCCTAACCTCAGACCAATCAGCGCATCCACTGCTGGTGTCTCCCCATTTCCTCCGCCTCCTTTCCATCTTTTGTGTCCTAAGCCTAAATTGGATGCTAATGTGCCTCCAGTCCTTGCTGATTTCCCTGCAAACCCTGAACACCTTAAGCCAGGGCTGCAGACTGGTGGGTCAGAGCAAGAATGGAGACAACAGCTATCTCTGGCTTCTCTGGAAAGACCCCCTTCCCCAGAGCATGAACCCTTCCGGCCTCAGCAGTCCTTACCGCTCCCTAAAGCCCCGTGCCTGGCCTGCTTCACCTGCTCAGGAAACCCCACACCCCATTCCCGGCCCTACAGGAGTTTAAGTTGGTGCCCGCAGCCTTGGCATTTGTGCAGCAAACAGGAAGATGGATGATGGGGTGGAGTGGGAGCACCTCGGGCATCCCTTGGTGTCCACACCCTTTCTCAGAAGCGTGTTCCCCGACTCACCTGTTGAAACCCTTTGCCTTAACTTGTCCCGCTTGATGCTCAAAGTAGTCCTGAGACAGGCAGGACTGGTTTCATGACCCTGTTTTCTAGATATGGCTGATGGCACCCAGGAATCAGAGGGGCTTTCTCGTGGCATGTCTATCTGTGGAAGTGGCTGAGGTCTGTCTGTCTACAAGCCTAGAGCCCCGTTCACACCACCAGTTGCTCCCCGGGCCCTGTCTCGGGCTACTCTTTGGGGCGATCATCAAGCATCATCTGTTTTCTGTTTTCCTGGTGCTCAGCCCTATGCCCCTGACATTCGTGTCTGTGATCACAAGATGGTCTTTGTCTCTGTTGGTGAAGGGGATGCAGTGGATGGCTTTATTCTGACCTCAGATCATGCAATTCCATCATTCTAGGACACAGAGGGACCACGAGCAAAGTCATGGACCAGTCTGCTCAAGGAGGGGACCCCTGAGGTCAGTGAAGTCCTGAGAGGAACAACAGAGTACCGTGTCCAACCGCGGCCGACAGCCTCGAGAGGGCCTCCCCGCCCCGGTCCCAGCAGACCCTCACTGTGCTTCCTGAGCGCGCCAGCATTCTGCCCATCTCCCAGCTCGGGAGACCCAGGCTGGAGTGCTTTGCCCATGATTATGAGTGGAAGCCAGAACTCACCCAGGCCTGCTGACTCCCAGTGCCTTGCTAGGTTTCTGCTTCTTCACAAAATAATACAAAAACAGATCTTAGTATCCTAGATAAATATATATCTATATCTACTTAGTTGTATTAGGCCAATTTCAGCAAAGGTGGCCCCAGGAAATATGGATGTGAGTTAATAAAACTGCTGGGAATGTCTTTGCTAGAGTGTGCCCAAGGCTATGCCATGTCCTCAGAATACAGAGGTGGCCGAGTCAGACCAGATTAGCCCCTGGCCCCAGGGAACTTGCAGACAACATTCCAATTAAGCCATCCATAACCAGGTGACTTCAGAGAGAGATGACAATAAAAGGTGCTAATGGTGAGAGTAACAGATTATGGGATGGTGGCTGCCTCCCACAGGGTGGTCCGAGGAGGCCCCTTGGAGGGCATCCCATCTAGGCTGAGCCCTGTCTGTTAAGAAGGAGTCAGGCAGCAAGGGAATAGCGTTCCATGTGGAAGGAACAGGGGGAAAGGTTTGAAGTGGGAATGAGCCTAGCCTAATCCAGGAGGGGAGGAACTCATGGAGGAGAAGAAGGCAGGGGAAGTAGGGGGTGGGCAGTGGGGAATTGGAGAGAGAGCTCATGAAATAGAGTGCTGGGCAGGGCAGCACCCCAGAGCCACACTATGGTTTCCTTTTTGCAACCCTTCTGCTTTTTCTATTATTTCCCAGTCCTCTGAAACCATTGCCAGTCAATATTTCTGACAGGTTTGCCACACTGCCTACCCTGTGGTCCAGGATTTCTGGATGACCTGACCCCTGATTCACAGAGCTTCCAGTGACTACAATTACTTGCAGATAGAGACCAAAGCACATTTTTAGTTCAGATGATAAATGAAAAAGAAGGGGGAAAGGCTTGGAGGATTGAAAATCAAAGGGTCTAATGTTACTGGAATTCTCCACAGAGTCCCATTACTTTGTTGCAAACAGCACAGAGGTTCACTGGAGGTGGGCAAAGGTTTTGATGAGAGAGAAATTTTTCAATAGCTCATTGAAGCTGATCGTTCCCTGGGACTTCCCAGATCATAAGAAATGGAGACCCCGTCTTTTGCCAAAGATCATGTGAGGGTTTTCTAGAAATCTAATCAGCCCCGGGCAGTTGCTGTCACCCTCATTCCAGCTCCCAATTGCCCGCAACGGGACTGATGATCCTTGAAGCGTGTCCTTTTGACCATGACTCTGCTGTGGCTTGGGCCAGGAGGGTCGCCTCAGACATCTGTCTCATGAGCTTTTGCATCCTCCCCCAGCTGCCTCCCATCACCACGGCGACCAGCACGCAGGAGCCAGCCAGGGCAGCAGGGGGAGCCAGAGCCGTCAGTGAAGCCATCGACAGAATCGGCCTTTTGGGGAGCAGGTACTTATCTAAGCGGCTTCAAAACGAAAACAAGCAGCCCATAGTCATGCACCCATGAGAATCTTATTAACCGATGTTTTCCTTTGCCTTTCCTATATGATTCCAGACCATTTTTAAAGCTGGTCGCTTAGACTGGCATTCCCCCCCTCCCCCCACTTCAGCCCAGAAGCATGAAATTGACTTGATTGCTTTCAGACCCGTCTCTTGGCTTGTTCGGTTTGGTTCAGCCAGTGTAAAACTTCAATCTTCTCGGAGGTTTCCAGGGAAGCGGCCCACACGGCAGGAAGTGACCCAAAGCAGTGCCCTTTGAACCTTCTTTTCTCTATTCAGAGTTCGTTCAAACTCCGCTTTCTATTCCCTTCACACGTAGCTTCAGTGATTGGCACCGTCAGGTTCTGTTATCAAAATAAAGGCTTCCTCTAGTCTTCAGGCAACATCGATCTTCGGAAAGATGCACCAGCCCAAGCCAGTAGTTTCAAGCATGCACTCATACCCTGCCACACTCCCCGGGCCGCCGTGGAGAGTGGGCACCTGGTAGGCCGTGCAGTGCTGGTGCTGAGGAGCGAGAGCAGCTGGAATCCAGCCTGCACAGTGGTCGCACAGCTGAGGCTCCAGCCTGGGACAGCATCAGCCCTGAAAAACGGGGAGCATTTCCTCTGCATGAAGGAGTTTCCTGGCCAAGCTGCGTATTCTCCAGATCTGTGTCCACCCAGAGGGAGTTTGCCTTTGATAATTTCTAGAAAAATTCTGAGTAGGCTAAAGGCACTGCTAGCCATTCCTCCAGGAGTCTGCAGACCCCAGATTGGAAACCACGCTGTGTACCCCTGTGACCATAAATCAGAACTTGAGGGTTCCTCCAGGAGTGAAAGGGCTGAGCCGTAAGCATGTATCACATCAGATACAGTTTTATTTACAAGCAGCACACACATCACCAAATGCTTCTTTCTGTGTCCTCAAGATCCTCTGTGCTTCAGGGTCTTGGGGATTCTCAGCCTTAAACAGCACAAGTGGGGTATGTTTACAGATGACCCTCTTCTGGGTTTGAAATGCTGTGTCCTCAGAAACTAGAGGTGCTGAGCAGGTTAGGAATTGGCAAACTTTTTCAGTAAAGGAGGGGAGGGCAGGGTGGGCTGAGGGAACCAGAGTTGCCTAGACAAGAAGTCATGAAAGTGTTAGTTACTCAGTCATGTCTGACTCTTGGAGACCCATGGGCTGTAGCCCACAAGGCTCCTCTGTCCATAGAATTCTCCAGGCAAGAATACTGCAGGGGGTAGCCATTCCCTTCTCCAGGGGATCTTCCCGACCCAGGGACTGAACCTGGATCTCCTGCATTGCAGGCAGATTCTTTACCATCTGAGCTACCAGGGAAGCGCCTTTCAGTAAAGGGCCAGATAACAAATACTTTATGCTTTCCACTTTTTGTTTTGTTTTAATAACCATTTAACACCATAAAACCATTCTTAGCTTTCAGGTCACATAGAAACAGGCTGTGGGCTGCATCTGATCTGCAGGCTGTACTGTGCGGACCCCTGCTCTAGACTCCTGGGGCTGGACTGCGTCTTTGTTGTGGCACACGGTGTTCCTCTAGTTACAGAACATGGGCTTAGTTGCCCTGCTAAGGGCATCTAGTGGGATCTTAGCTTCCTGACCAGGGATCGAACTGGAGTCCCCTGTATTGGAAGGTGGATGCTTAACCACTGGATGACCTGGCACATCTCCCCATCTCGACTTGCACAGGTTAAAAGTCTGCTTAAGGAGATCAGCTGGCTCTGGCCCCAAGCAGTTTCTCTTACTTGGCCCTTCTTTCGGGGCTAATTATGCAGTTATTTATAAAGGGAGAAAACCGGCCCATGTGCACCTTCAATCTCTCTGCTGGGTGTGAGTATTTTCTTCTCGAATTGTTACTTGTCTCTGAGATGGAAAAGGAAGTGTGGCACCCTTGATGGGAATGCTGTCTATTGTGTATCATTTATTACTACTTGTTTGCTAAAACAAAAATCACATTTCAGACAACAGCAGAAGCTTCTGAAAGTCCTCCAGGCCATTGAAAGTGACTCTGCCCATCTCAGCCTGGTTGTTTCACCCACGGAGGAGCAAGTGCTGGACCCAGAGGTGAGAACCTTGACTTACGAGGCTTTCCCAGGGCATTCTCAACTTGCCTGAAGGCTGAGGGAAGAAGGGCCCTTCAGGATGATCATTTCTATTCGGTGGGAACTGCTCTGACAGCAGTAAACTTAGCATCTTTCTGCCCTGGTCTCCCCCCAGCACTCAGACCATGTAATGAAGCACAGAGTTTCAGTGGACAGAAGTCTGACAGCCCAGGAGGAAATATAAGCAGCCTGTCTATAGAAAAATATTCAACACCACTGATAATCAAGAAATAAAAATTAGGGCAACCTTAACATTCCACTGATATCTGAGTTAAATTATTTTTGATGATAACCTCTAGCACTGGCAAGGTTACAGTAAAACTGACCGTCTTAGTCTGCTGGCAGCAATAGAAGTATGGGTGGACAGCTTTTGAAAAGCAGAAAGGACAGACTTAGGAAGAGCCCTAGAAATATTTATGTCTTCCAGCCTGACAATCCTACTTCTTTACCCTAAAGAAATCACACAACAGAAATTGAAAAATATATAGGCACAAAAATGTCTGTTTCAAAAGTATTGAAAGTAGGAGAAAGTGAGAGGAAAAAAACACAGAAATAACATATATGTCTCACAATAATACAGTTAATCAGGAAAGTATGATATATGGGCACAATACAGTTGTGTAAAAGAATGGACATTTATAGAGGTTATGCAGATAGAAAATGTTAAGGACATAAAATTAACTGCAAAAGGTAATGTTCATCTTCATGGAGTCCAATATTATTATAGCAAATGAGCAAAGATATGGCTGTCTGAGTGGTTCGATGGAGCTGAGACATGAAGAGTGAAAGGGCAAGATGGCATCAGGATGGAGGAATAACAGGTGATGCTTTTCTCTTCTTGGCTAAATGGTTTGTGTTCAACACATCCTCTCCCCACTTCCTATACCCAAGCCTATACTGTTTGGTACAGCAGTCACTCACCTTGTGATTGGCCGATGGAGACTTAACAGGAGGTCCTCCCAAAGGCACACGTAAAGCTCATATGACAGCAGAAGGAGCCCTGCTGCAACCTAGACTGGAGTTCTGGCTTGGAATCTTTACCATCATTTAGAGGTCGTGTGACCCTAGACAAGCCTCTTAAGCTGTCTGGTCCTGGGAGTGGATGGCTGTCAAATTGGGTAAATAATCCACAGCCCAAGGGGCTGCTGTGTGGCTTCAACAGGAAAGGTCTCTGAGGGCAAGTGGCTTGGTGCCTGGCACCAAGGCAAGGGAGAAACCAGGAAATATGCCTTCTAGAAAAATCTATGGAAAACAAAGCTTTATTCTCCCTGTATGGCATAGTTGTTTTCTTAGCTATAAAGATCCTAAGTGGGGTGAAACCTCAGTCACATTAAAAAGAACCTAGATGGGTCTTCCCTGGTGATACATTGGATAAGAATCCACCTGCCAATGCAGGGGACATGGATTCGATCCCCAGTCAGGGAAGATTCTGCATGCTGAGGAGCAACAAAGCCCAAGTGCCAAAAATACAGAGCCAGTGGTCTAGAGCCTGAGATCCACAACTACTGAATCCGAGTGCTGCAACTACTGAAACCCTTGTGCCCAAAGCCTGGCTCCCAAATGAGAGAAGCCACCTCAGTGGGAAGCCCGTGCAATGCAATAAAGAGTAGCTCCTGCTCATTGCAACTAGAGAAAGCCTGCACCCAGCAACGAAGACCTAGAACAGCCAAAAATTAATTAATTTAAAAAAAAAGAGCCTGGATGGATCAAGTCTCCTTATATTATAGGAGATAAGAAACCCAGGGCAAACTGACTTACACAACAAAGAGAAGAAAAATGAGCTTTGTAGTGAATGCCATCATCGGGACCAGGTAGGGCTTGATCCAGAAGCTTACACTGTGTCTCCACCATGTCAGCTGAATCTCTCTGAGCCCCATCCCCACCTCAGTACCCAGTCCCAGCTCTGCTCCCTCCCTGTGATCTCCCAATGGCCAGTGATTCCCACTTCTCCCCGTTAAACCCTAAGACCCCACAGTCAGGAGAACTGAGTGGTTTCTCTACACACAGATCTGAGACTAGGTCACATGCCCATCACTGAACCGCTCCCAGGCATCAGGACACGCTGATGGACTGGACCAGTTCAGCTCCTCCTCGGGGTAGGAAAGCGTCCATCTCTTTGTTATCTCACGGCTCAGAAAAGAGAAGGGGCAACTTTGACAAAAGAAAAGCAGGTGGTCTTGGTGAAAGGGGGGCAGTGATACCAGGGTCCAGAAGCTTCCCGGCCAGCGTTTGCCTCACACCCCTCCCTCCTAAATCGAGCCAGACTAGCCATCAGGTTGCAGCACTGACAACTTCTGACACTGCCTTAGTTAACAGACCCTTCAGCTTCTTCATTTAGAAGCACTGCTGAGGGAATTCACACATTTTAGACTGCACCGGGCGTGAGATTCAGCAGCCCCTCCCGGGGGCAGCTCGCCTCCCATCTGGCTTCCTCCCGACAGCCAACAGCGCAGTGACCAGCGCCACTTGTTCACACCTCCCACGGGACTCACCTGGCAGCGGAACGCGCCTCACAAGCACGAGTTCATTAACCTCCCGATCCCCATGCCTTGAGCCGGGCCAGTGGAGTTTTATCACCTTCCTGCCAGCCTGGGACTCAGGCCCAAGACAACAGAGGGCTTGGCCCTGGCGCCACATGGGCCCGTGGCAGAGAAGGAGGAAGCCGTGGGGTCTGCTAATAAAAACAGGCCCTACGTTCCCTCCAGGAGCAGGGAGCTGACCTCCCTCCCCCTGCATCCCCAGCCCATCGCCTGGCAATCAAGGCTCATCCAAACGCACACTGAGAGCGCTAGCACGTCTCACTGGCTATTAATTAAAAAAATAAGTAGGGAACAGTTGCTGTTCATTTGCTCAGCTTCCTGCTCACAGGACCGTCGCAGATTACAGTGCTAATTAAGAGAGGGCATGTGCGTGTGGGGAAGGCACCATTTTCTGAGCGGTTGATCCGTAGCGACCAGCCCTGCAGTTGGGGAGACGTGGGGCCTCAGGAAGCCATTCCTCGGTGTGGCCGTTGATTGATGGTGTTCACGCCTTCCCAGACCAGACAGCCTGTCTGTGAGGGAGGTGGGCATTAAAATCACTGGAGGAGAGAGATGGGCGGAAACGGCCACTTACAGAGTGCACGCGGGCCGGGACTGCTGACCAGGCCTTTTCGGGGCATACACATGTGCTTAGTCATTCAGTCGTGTCCAATTCTCTGTGACTCTTTGGACTGTAGCCTGCCAGGCTCCTCTATCCATGGGATTTTTCAGGCAAGAATACTGGAGTGGGTTGCCATGCCCCCCTCTAAGGGATCTTCCCAACCCAGGGATCGAACCCGGATCTCCTGTGTCTCCTGCATTGCAGGCTGATTCTTTACCCGCTGAGCCACACGTGTATCCCGCTTAATCTCCGGGATAGGATTGTCAGATTGATGGTGTCATCTCCTGGTCCCCATTCAGGCCGAGGGATGTCAACTGACCTGTCCAGCGTCCTGTGTTATCTACTGCAGTGGTCCCAGCCTTTTTGGCACCAGGGATCAATTTCGTGAAAGACAGTTTTACCAGAGACTGGGGGTGAGGGGATGGTTTCGGGATGATTCAGGCATATTACATTTACTGTGTGCTTTTTTTTTTTTCTAATCTATAATGCTGCTGCTGATCTGACAGGTGGTACCGGTCCTCGCCCCAGAGGTTGGGGACCCCTGATCTACTGTATTACACAGGCTGTCTGCTAGGCTGCCACAAGTGCCATAGTCTGGGGCGGGGGGGGCTTAAACAATGGAGACTTCTTTTCTCACCAATCCAAGATCAAGGTGTTGGCAGGCGGGGTATCTTCTGAGGCCCGTCCTTGGCTTGCACATGGCCACCTTCTCATTGTGTCCCCACATGGCCTTTTCTGTGTGCCTGCCCATCCCTGGTGTTTCTCTTGGTATCCAAATGTCCTATTCTTGAAAGGACATCAGTCAGAATGGATTAGGCCCACCCTCACAGTCTCCTTGTGTCTTAATTACCTCTTTCTAGGCCCTATCCCCTTCTGAGCAATTAGGGTTTGGGCTTCAGTATCTGAGTTTGCAGGGGGGTGGGGGTGACACAATCTAGTCCCTAGTGAAGTGAGAGTTGCTCAGTGGTGTCCGACTCTTTGTGACCCCATGGACTACACAGTCCATGGAATTCTCCAGGCCAGATTTCTGCCCAATTCAGCAGAAGTTGTGACATGCCTACAGAATATGAACCCTTGGTCGTGGGTCAGAAAAGTGCATATTCAGGGAGAATCTGATGCCTTTAAACATTTTAAAATTTTTATTTTATTATTATTTATTTCATTTATTTTTGGCTGCGCTGAGTCTTCCTTGCTGTGCCCGGGCTTTCACTAACTGCGGTGAGTGGGGGCTACTCTCCAGTTGCGGTGTGTGGTGATTTCTCTTGTTGCAGAGCACGGGCTTGGTAGTTGGGGCACACAGGTTTGGTTGATCCATATGTGGGATCCTCCTAGACCAGTGATCAAACCCGTGTCCCCTGCATTGGCAGGCGGATTCTTAACCACTGGACCATGAGGGACATCCCTTTAAACATTTTTTGTTATTTGTGGACTCTTACAGAAAATACTAAGTGGCAGGTTTCTCTGATAACTTTTTCTTTTTGGCTGCACCGAGTGGCTTGCAAGATCTTAGTTCCTTGACCAGGGATGGAACCAGGGCCCCAGCAGGGAAAGAGTCGACTCCTACCACTGGACCACCAGGGAATCCCCGCAGTGACTATGTTTTAAATGCCTTACAAATATGAACTCTTTAAATCTCCATGGTAACCATCTGTAATGGATGCTTCTCTTATCCTCATTGTACAGATGGGGAAACCAAGGCACTGAGAGCCTAAATACCTTGTCATTTCGCGGTCGAGCTGGATTCCACCTGTGCTGTTTTCATCCTGTGGCTTTACCTTTCTTCTTGTTAAGGACAAATCGGGACCGAAAGCGGAGGAGATCAAAGATGCCATCTACGTGACCATGGAAATCCTGTCCAACTGGGGCAGCGCGTCGTGGGTGGGCCTCACAGAAGTCGAATTCTTCGACCTGAACAACACAAAGCTCTACGTGTCGCCCCATGACGTGGATATCCGGAACACAGACATGCCCGGGAACCTGGGCCACTTGGTCAACAGGAACTTAGCTGTAAGTGGAGGTGGTCCTGAGTGAGCCTTGGCCTCGTGCTTTAATGCATTTTTTTCTGTCCAGGATAAGTGAGGGTGTGGGTGCGGGGAGGGGATGGCTCTTGTGACTGTCTCAGCCATTCATTTGGGCAGAGTGGGGTGAAGCCCAGGAACAAGGTAGAGGCAGAGCCTCCAAACGGTACCCCCTCGCCCTGAGCGCTGTTCCAGATCCCTGCTCAGTGGGGGTTTCTTTGGGGGTTTGGGGGACAAAGAGGAGCCAGTCACCCCCTTTATCTACCTTTGCGGTTTACCACAGTCCTCACCACCAAACACGGGACCTGGGCGGGGAGTATCATCGAGGCCCTTGTTTTGTAGACGGAAAACTGAGACTTGGACAAGGGCGTTGGCTCGGTCAAGGTCACAGAGCTGGAAGGTGCAGGAGGGGCAGACGCATACCCTGCAGCCTGGCCCCGGGCCCATGTACCCCCTCCGGCCGGCTTCCCTGGGGCACAGAGAGCACACCTAGAAAACACGGAACGTTGCTTTCTTTCAAATATCTAAAAGTTAAAGAAAGAGAGGTTCTGGCATTTTCTCTTCCTGCCACTTGCAAGCTGGACACAGGAGACTGAGCTAAGCTGATCAGACTGCCCAGCACCGACGTCCGTACTGTACGTGTGCTATAGCATCCATCCCCTTGACCTCTGGGAGGGGCCTGGGACACAGGACCAGAGGTTGCCTCTGGGTCATGGAACAGATCGAACAAGGGACAGGGGCAATAGGAAGGCTTTCTCTTGGATGCTTTTTTGGTACCTTTTAAATTTCCTGCCCTGTATACATATTTTCTATTCCAAAGAACAAATTATTAGTTTTTTTCAAACATTTTGTGTATTTATTTATTTTTGTCTGTGCTGAGTCTTCATTGCTGAGCTCAGGCTTTCTCCATTTGTGGCCAGCAAGGCTACTCTTCATTGCTGTGCGCGGACTTCTCACTGCAGTGGCTTCCCATGTTGCAGAGTGCAGGCTCTAGGCACTTGGGTTTCAGTAGTTGCGGCGGCCGGGCTCCAGAGTGCGGGGTCAGTAGTTGTGATGCATGGGGTTACTTAGCCCCGTGGGATGTGGGATCTTCCCAGACCAGGAACCAAACCCATGTCCGCTGAATCAGCAGGCAAATTCTTATCCAACTGTGCCACCAGAGAAGTCCAAATTATTGATTTTTAAAAAAGAATTGAAAATGAAAATGGTTGCCACAGTTGTAGTTCTTGCCTGGTGCCAGGCACAGTGCTAAGTATGTCGTATGTATAATCTTATTTAAACATAACAGTGCACAGACCCGAGAAGCAGAAAGGCCTGGCTCCAAGCTTAATCACTTACTGCGTCATGACCACCAGTAGCTCACCTAACATCTACTTTGGTTTTCTCATCTGTGAAACGGGGATCATAGTAGCACTTAGCTTGATACAATAGTAAGGATCAATGTAAATAAAAAGAACTCACCACACCTCTGAAAGAGCTCTGAAACACCAGCTATCACTGTTTTCATTGTTACCAGTCGTAGTAGTAATACAGTGAGTGCTAAGTCGCTTCAGTTGTGTCTGACTCTTTGCGATGCCGTGGACTATAGCCCGCCAGGCTCCTCTGTCCATGGGATTTCCCAGGCAAGAATACTGGAGTGGGTTGCCATGCCCTCCTACAGGGGGTATTCCCATCCCATGGATCGAACCCATGTCTCTTTTGTCTCCTGCATTGGCAGGCAAGTTCTTTACCACTAATGCCACCTCTGTGAACAAATATTATTTCCATTTAAAGATAAAGAAGCCAGAAAGGAGGGCTGTGAAATCCCCAGTTCTATATATCCAGGTTCTGGTCTTGACTCTGTGGCCTTGGGCATCTTACCTGCCTTCTCTGAGAGTCAGTTTTTCCCTCCTCCTGTAAAATGGGAGTGGGAGGCCTGGATAATCTGTGTGATTCTTATTTTGCCAGCAAGAGAAGCTGAGTCTGGCTCACTTTAGCAAATTTTTGAAAAGAAAATGTGTTGCAAGCCTTTTGAGTCGCTGGCGTATTCACTGAGACTCAGGCCAGAATCGGACAGGCCCGTGGGAAACCTGGAGATTCTGGGTAACATCCAGGGATGCCTGAGCACCGGAAGTTTGTTCATTTTTTGGTGGGAGGCTGCCCTGTTTGTTGGTTGATTGGTTGCTTAAATGGTTTGTCATTTTGTCTTTCTGCTGGGGATATCCAGTCCCAGGAGAGGAAGGCTGATGGACCAACCTGACTAGGAGGCCCAGGCACCTTGGTGCCAGTTCCACTAACCTGCCCCAGTGGGGCAGGGAGGAAATCCTCCCTGAAGAAATTCATGGCTGTTACTGAAAGAAAGGCAGTGTAGATGTGAGATAGCCCGGAAACACCGCCTGTCCACAGGGCTGGACAGAGTGGTGTCTGAGCCCTCTTAAAGGTCAGCCATGTGACCTTGAAGGAAACAGGTTCTCCCGTGGGTCACGGCCACTTGGATGCTCTGGCCTTGCATTCCCTGCTCTTCCTGCTTCAAATCTGTGGACTCCCGCGGGGCTTGGACTGGCCCTCGCCAAACCTCTCTGGTCTCCCTTGTGTGCAAGGCAGTGAATGGCATTTTGGAAGTCTGCTGTATAGAACAGAACATACCAGGGGCGATAAAAAGCATCATTGGATTTGATGGGGACCAATTCTGATGATTACTCTCCCCTTTCCTCTGCTTAGCAGAGGCTGACGAGCTTTGCCTTATCATAGCAGTGAGGACTTCAGCCCAGGGTTTTGGTGGGGTTTTTTTGTGTTGGTTTTTTTTTTTTTTTTTTTAAATTTTGGGCCTTGAGGCTGGGACATGAGACAGCTGTCTTACCCTAAGCTGCTGGATCTCCAGGCCCAGCTGTGGGTGGGCTGGATTCCTCCTGCCATTCAGATCTGGGGTCTCTCTCATAGTCATCCTGTGTGCCAGCTCTGGGGCCATCAGAGCACACCGCCTCTCAGAACCATCCCATTTCACTGGGCCTTGGACGTCCCTTACTGAATCTCACGTCAACTTTGGGGTGGCTCTCCCCATTTGGTAAACGAGAAAACCAAGTCTCCAGGAAGACGAGTGACTCCCCCAGGCCACACTGCTGTGGAGTGGCGGGGCTCAGCTGGAAGCTGAACAGATGGTACCTAAAAGCAGAGTCTGGGTTTGAAAGAGAAGTTACTTCCATAGATGTGACTGTGGGACACGTTGGGGGTGTGAGTGCCCTGTATTTGGTGCAAACCCTCCTCCCTGCCCTGCCCGCCCCATCTCTCTCATCGGCCTCTCCCCAGGCTCATGGCTTCAAGATGACTCCAAATTTATACACCCAGCCCTGCCTGTTTCTCTGAGTTCCTGACTCGAATGTCAGCTTGCTTCCACTCCATATCTTGGACCTCAGAGATCTAAAACCTAAGTTTCAGTTCCTCTTCCCAGGGCCACATCTCTTCCTCCTCCAGCAGCCCTTTGCTCAGAAAATGGCATTCTTGCCAAGCTCACCACTTCCTTGATTGTCCCACGCCCCCCTCCCGTTCAAGCACGTCAACCCATCCTGTTGATTCTGCCTCCAACACAGAGCCTGGACTTGGCCCCTCCTCTCCATTTCCATTGGTTCCTCCCAAGCCCCCTCATTGAAACATTAAACGGCCACCTCTCTCCTTCCTTTCTTCTATTCTTGCTCCAACCACTACATTTTCCACTCTGTACTCAAAAGGAGCTTTTACAAATGTCACCTCCCCTGATTAGAACCTCTGCTGTGACTTTCTGGGAGAAATGGGGTGCCTCCCTGTGACCTGGGAGGCTGTCGTAAACACGCCTCCAGCTCCTCTCTGCCTGCTGCACCCACCAGGCTGCAGAAGCCACAGGGCTCCCTTCTGCTCCTCTGATCTGCCAAGCTCATTCTCACCTCTGGGTTCAGCCCTTGCTGCCTCCTCTGCCCAGAGCATGCCTCCTCCAGATGTTCAAGTGGCTCCTTCCTCTCTCCTCACTCAGATTTCAGCCCAGCTATCACTTTCTCAATGAGACCTTCCCTGACCCTACAAAGTGGAGGAGTTCTGTTCCCTCCCCACCACAGTCTCTATCACATCAACCTTTCTCATTTTCTGCAGAGCACTTCTAGCTCTAAAAAATGATCCTGTTCGCTTGTTTCTAATCTGACTTCTCCCATCAACCTGTAAGTTCTTATCTGTCCTATTCACACTATATTCCCAGCACATAAAGCAATTTATTTTTGAAGTTTTATTTTTAAAAATAATTATAGCTTCATAGAAAATTGTAAAAAAAAAAAAAAGTGCAGAAAAGAACTACAAAGCCAAAAGTTGTTTTTTTTGAAAGAATCAATAAAATGAATAAACCTCGATTGAGCAAAGAAAGTGGGGAAATACTCAAACTACTAAAATCAGAAATGAAAAGGGGGCCATTAGTCCCAAACTTACAGAAATAGAAGGGAATTTTTTATTCCTTTTATTGTGGGAACATTATGAACAATTTTATGCCAGCAAGTTAGATATTCCAGATGAAATGGACAGATTCCTAAAAAGACATGAATTACCAAAACTGACTCAAGAAGGAAGAAAAATTCTGATTAGACCTATAGCAAGAAAAGAGACTGAATTAGTAATCAATAAAAAAAGAAAGAAGAAAAGCCCAGGACCAAATGGCTTCACGGGTGAATCTTACCAAATATTTGAAGAATTAATACCCGTCCTTCACACACTGTCCTAAAATATGAAAGAGGAGGGACCACTTCCCAACTCATTTTCCAAGGCCAGTATTACCCTGAAACCAAAACCAGACAAAGCCTTCAGAAGAAAACTACAGACCTGTCTTAGCCCTTATGAATATAGATGTAAAAATCCTCAATAAAATATTAGCAAATCAAATCTAGTAGTGTATAAAAGATCTATGTATCAAGACCTAGTGGAATTTATTCCAAAAATGCAAAGCTTTCAGCAAATGAAAATAAGTCAGTTGAATATGACATATTAATACAATAAAGG